CCAAAAATACCCTACTACAAAATCAAAACAAATCTCTAATTAATTTCCTAAATAAACCTAATAAATTCTAACACCCCCCGTCAAACTCATGGCGGTACGCGACATGAGTTTGCCAACAAGCAGATGTGGATGCAAGCCTCCAAATTCCGATGCTGATGCCGATGCCGATGCCAATGCCGATGCCGATGCCGATGCCCATACCAATATCGATACCGATACCAATTGCGAGCTTCCAAACAAACCTGAGCAAACAAACAAAAAACATATTTTTTTTCTTTGCCCGTGTGGGGGCCTCAAAAACTCCAAACAATTTTTTTTTTCCTTATTTTTTCTCTCTTCTTATGGGCGAAGAGGTGCAACATCGCACCTTCTTCCTTCTTTTTCATTTCCATGGGTTTTTTTATCTCTTTCATTTTTCTTTTCCTTGCAAACAATCAATACCAAATAACAAATCTAAAACGAAAACACAAACAGCGGAAGATGACGGAAACAAAACTGATACAAACAAATTGATACAACCGAGAACGGATTGAACCCTAAGGATCGAACCCGTTATGATACCAAGTTGAATATCAGAGTACGCAACGAACAAGACTAACAAAATAAGAAATATTATTGATATCAAACGAGAATGCCGAAACGGCTACAAAACCCTAAGATGCTACATTGTGACTAACTTGATTCCTCAAACTAAATTACAAGCTCTATTTATAGAGCAATAAACCTAAGAAACCTAATGCGTAAATGCCAAAAATACCCTACTACAAAATCAAAACAAATCTCTAATTAATTTCCTAAATAAACCTAATAAATTCTAACAGCTGCGAGTCAAGAGTATGATTGGGTTTGGGATAGGATGAGATGGTATGAGGATGAGAGAGTGAGGGGAGGGGGGTGTGATGGAGGAGGAGGGAGCGAGGATTGGGTTTGGTTTGGGATGAGATGTTTTTTGCGATCGGGGAAGAAAGGAGAGAAATGTTTTTTTTTAAAGTATTTTTAATTAAAAAAATTATTAAATTATTAAAAAGTAATTATTTTTAATCATTAAATAAAAATTATTAATTAATTAATTTTTTATCCCAGTTGGCAAAGAAATGGGCCCTGCTTCTGCCACATCATCATTTACCAGCAAAATTAACAGAAAATTTAAAGGATGTCTAACATTGCAATGAATTCATAAATTGAGGTATGACATTACAATGTTTAAAACATGAGGTATGAGATTGTGATTCGACTCATAGTTGAGGTAGTTTTGTGTAATTTATCCAACAAAATATTATTAAAAATATAGATAGAAAACACTTTGAAAATAAACTTAAATCGTCAAAATCAATTCTCCAAATTAGTGCATGCGTTCGCTCCTCTCTCTTTCGAAACCCTAATGGCTAAAAAGCCTTATTTATACTGCAATACAATTAAAATCCTTAATAGAAAATGTCTTCTAAAAACTAGGAAACATAATAACTTCATAGAAACTAGGAAATATAATCCTAATCAAATATGGCAAATCTGTCCAGCCACATTTTGGACCCATATCTGCTCCAAAACAGGCCTAAAATAGCTCTATTTAAAGCTTAGAATATTTTGAACACTTCTCCAGAAGACCACGAACTCATCAAAGATCATCTTGGGCTCCAAAACTCGCAATTAAGCCAAAAAACGTCATTTTTCAATGCCACACGCTGCACCTTTATACGCTTTAGAAAAATTTCAAATAAAATTACTCCAAAATTCATCCATTTGATCACTTTTTGCTCCAGAGGAAGTCGGAAATCCTATATTGAAAATACAATTTAAAGTATTAAAATTCTTCCAAAATAATAACCAAAATAAACTAAAATTAGGATGATATATACAATATAATATTGACTCATCACCGACGTAGGCCCCCTTTTCTACAGCAAGATGGCGTCATGGCTCGCCAGCGGGCTCAAGGCTCGACAATTATTGCAAGGGCAGTCCAACGGGCTGCTGCCCTTGATCCAATTGCCTTTCCTCTTTTAGGACGGGTGGAGAAGAATTTGTTGTGTTGAGGGCAATTCAACCCAAATGTCCAAACATTTCAAGCTCTGCTGAACTTGCTCTTAAGAGAAACCAATTTTTCTGCTGATGCCTTAGCTAATTTAGGTCATCAGAAATCCCCGAATTGTATTTAGCTCGACTCTTTTCCTGCTTGTGCCCAACAAGCTCTTCAACTGGACCTATCCTTTACTGATTGCCCTAGACGCTTTTCTATTTATGATTCTTTTGTTAAAAATAAAATAATGGAATCCCACATTCTATCGAACTATGAAACTGAGAACAAAAAATAATAATTTCAAGCCCCTGTTACAGCACTCGGAAAAAGAAAAGAAAAGAAGGTAACAAAGTTTCAATAAATCTTGTACCAGCCTTATAATCTTGTTAACTATATACGATCCCAACTCTCAGATACATAGATTGAAAAAGTTAGAAGGTTGTTTTGGCCGGGACCATATGCTCTTACTTTTTTGTTGGGTCGACCGACAATATACTTACATAGATGCTTGAGTCACATCATCACATCGAAAACGTGCATCATTTTTGGACCACGACTTAAAATAGTGACACTTACATGCCCTCCCATGACATTAATTAGTGTTTGTGCAGAAGACTAAACATTTGTGGCCAAACTGGCTGCACCTCTCCGGTATTATTCGATAAAAAGTTAGATTCTCTTCCACCAAACAAGTAACAGATATGAATTCCACGCCACACATGAAACTCCTGCGCTCAATAGATTGATTGATTTTTTAATTTACCATGGACAAACGAAATCACAGTTTGGTGCGTTGGCTTCTTTATAATTTTTTTATTTTTTATTTATTTATTTATTTTTAGAAAACTTTGACGAGAGATATTTTATTGATAATGAAAAGAAAAAAGTTGCATCTAGTCAGATGGAAGACATAAACTTTACCCCTCATAATACCAAGAAAAGAAGAAAAAGAACATGAATAAGAAGGGATGACTTAAACTTTACCCTCTAGAAATCAAAATCAAAACGATACAAGGAAAAGAGGGGAGAGGGACATGAAAAGAGGTAGGGCTTCTTTATGATTACTCCCAAGTCTTTTGTTTTGTCACACTAACTACCATAAATTAGGGGTTGCCCTACCAAACTATGTGCAACGTGAGGAATTTTGTCGGTTAATAAATGTTTACCCAACGGATAATTCATTTGGTAAGGCGAAGTCGGTCAACATATTGTGTTGACCGAATATTTTTACCCGACTAAGAGAGTTCGTAGGTTAAAAAATTCGTCGTTGGGTAAACTTTTGGCGCAAAGAGGGGAAATATTGATTCCTCATTCTACTATGTGTCTTCCTATTCATCTTTCTCCCTTCTCCCATTCTTCTTTGGTTCAAGACCCACTACACCCACTACTCAAACCTTACCATTTGACCAATTTGCACAAGTTTATGAAAAACAGCATCAGCAAAGGTATGTATATTGTGGTCGGAGGTCTAGGGAGTACATGGAGAGAATACTACCGTAATGTGCAAGAACATGGTGAGGATACCACCGTAAGGTCAAAGAAGGTGGTGAACAAAAGTTGGTCAGATTCTTGCATGTGGAAGAACATGGAGAGAATACTACCGTTATGGACGAAAGCCCTAAATCGTCAGGCTGAGCCGTTTAAGAAAAAAGACTCAGCCCTGTTTGTAAAGCTAATGCGGGATTGGTTTTAAAAGTGTTTACTTGTGAGTTCACGACTGAGCTTTTATTTTAAATGTTTTGTAATTCCTAACAAATGCATTAGGCGCCGTTACAAAATCAAATTTGTCTTGTATCACAACATTGGCTGGTATTATGTAAAATTTTCTATATTCGTCAGTATTTTGTAGTGGATTATAAAGCTATAAACCATATGGTTGAGCTTTTGTTTAAAAAAATTTACGTTTTACTTAATAAAAGTAAAGAAAAAAAAAGACCAAGTATTTTAGAATCCACGATTAGAAGGAGAAACAAATCCTACTAAACTAGTTTACACATTCCAATTATATTCGTATTACGGTATCCAATTCGATTGGCATATGAATATCATAATGTAATAATGGTAGAAATTGAATCACTTTATGTTTTGATATTATATAAAAAAAAATTCGTATGTGTAAGTAGAATTTGTTAAGATTCCTTCCAAAGTTAAACCCATAAGCGTTGTCAAAAGTTCAATTTTCGAAGTTTCACAAATACCCATGGGTCCAGAAAATCAATTTTATGATAATTGCCTGATGAACCTTCGTCGGTTAGGTCATCAACTGTCAAGAAAAGCTACAGTCCCAATTTTCTAGTGTCACATAAATCCAAATAAACGTGTTGGGAATCCATTGACATAGTTATTGCCCAACAAACCTCCGTCGGGAAAAACGTAATTGGTCAAAAGTTTTCAACTCCAATTTTCAAAATGTCACAGATTTCCAGTCATGGGCCTTGGAAATCCACTCAGATAGATATTGCCCGACAAATCTCCGCTGGGGAATGCATATGGATTAAAAGTTTCGGGTAGGACCCTCTTCTGAGATAAGGATGAAAATCTTTCTATCAAAGAATATAGGTCATTAGATGAAAATTCAAATGTTATAAACAGAGGAATCTCTTTAAAGTTATAATAATTATAGCCGTTGGATTTTCATCCAACTGCCCACATTCCTTAGTCGGGAGGATGCTCATCTTTAGCTCAGGAGAGGATCTTGATCCAAAAGTTTCCAACTCCAAGTTTCAAAGTGTCACAGATATCTAGTCACAGACATTGGGAATCTACTAACAAAGAGATTGTCCGATGAACCTCCGTCGGGTAAATCAGTATTGGTTAAGAGTCGAAGTCTTATTTTCAAAGTGTCACAGATATCCACCTCACGTGAGGGTAAAATTCCACCGACACGACTTAACCGATGGAAGTCCATTGGGGAAACCTCTATTCATTAGCTATAAATACCTTTCTTCCTTTTCATTTTTCTCATCAGTATCTTCCTCTCATTTCTCATGTATACTAGTTTCATAGAATGCGAAAGAGTGGTGGGAGGAACAATTAGAGAACACATCAGAAAGTTGTGTGAGTGGTTGGAGGGTTTGGAGCGATAGGTTGTTTTTAAGGATATCATAGTATGTGGATGGATGATATAGATGTAATCTTAGGTGAGTTAATTGTCGGGGTTCGCAGTAACTGTAAGATTTGAAAATATAATATTATAACTAATATTTTGAAAGGAAATAAGGACACCTCATCACCGACCCAATGAATAAAAGGACTCGGGGCATTTATCGGGGCACTCATTGTATACTTTCCAGACCACCGCCGAACGTGTGCCAGTCAGTGGCGGATCTATTAAGGGACCACCCGAAGCTCAGAAAAATGACCGTGAGGATCTTCAAGGACCACCCAAGTCTGGGCAGTGATGGAGAAGAACAGCAGCCATGGCTGCTCTAGTCGCTGTGCATTTCAAAATGAGGAAGAAGAAAGCCAATTTTTTTTTTAAAATGACTTAGCCAAAACGACGTCGTTCTGAGCCAAACCATTAAAAAAAAAATTAAAACCTCACTGCTCACTCACGTGAGAACCCTCAGACTCAGCTCCTTCACACAGCAATCACAACTTCACTTTACCAAATTGTTCAATTCTCTTCGTTCTCATTACCAAATCCTTCACACAACAAGGTCCGCTCTCGTTCCTTACGGCGTTGGCATCAATCAACTCTCTTCTGCACTGCACTCTAGTTTCTGAATCTGAATCTGATTGCCTGCACTGCACAACAATCAGAACTTCACTCTCTTCTCGCTCTCGTTCCTTCAGGTTTGTACTCTCTTCTTGCTCTCGTTCCGTCTTGGGTGCGCGGTACCTTATTTGGATCGATACTTTGGTTTGCTTCGCCATGCTGTTTGATCTCTCTTTTGGCCTCTGCTTTGCTTTGGTTTGCTTGTATGGTGTTGGCTTTGGGGTGCTGTTTTTAATTCACTTGATTCGATCAATCTATGGATTTCGTTTGATGATGAGCCAAACACATCCTTCACAAATAAACCAAACCAAGCACTTGAAAACCCGTGTTGTGATTTGAGATCAAAGTGTAAGAAAGATTGGTTGTCACGACACAAAGAAAATGTATCATGGACGGAGATTGCCTTATTATATTTTTAATTGCCTTATTATTATCTGTTAGTTGTCTCTCTCTCTCTATAAATTTGTAATTTTGGTTGCTTTTGTGAAATGGGTATTGGATGGAAACTATGAAATGCAAATTATTTAATCACATTCTTAAAGTTTCAAATTGAAAGAGTTTATAGGATGATTTCATTGTTTTCGGCTGGAGTTTCAGTATGTTAATTGGTATTTTGAAGTGTTGAAAGGCTATAATGTTGTGCAATCAGTTACTTGGTTTAAGCAGCTATTTCGTTTTCCATTGTTGGTCAATCCTTCTGTTTAATTTCTGCAGATTAAAAACAAAGATGTGCGAAATTTGGCAAACACTGAGTTTCTTCTAGTGAAGAAGGATTGGTCTTCTAAAATTCAGGTGATTGATCACAAGGAGTGTTCTTTATACATATTTCTATTTGATTTGTAGCTATTTTAAAATTTCCGTTTGATCCAAAGGCCATTGTTAGGAGGTCAAATTTGAAATGCAAGGTTTATTAGGAACTAAAACTTAACTGTGTCAATTATTCTTTTATTTTCTTCAATAATGTAATGAGGTTGTATCGTATTTATTTTACTATTTAAGTGGTCTATTGGACTGTTAAAGATGGTAATTGGTTGATTTGATAATATGGTTTGATCAAGAGGACTAGGAATTGGTTTCCTTTAACATCCAACTGCCCCGGTAGTGTAAATTATTTTGAACTTGATAACATACTTAAGTTTTGTTATCACTACCTTATTGGGATCATAATAAAGGAATAAGGGCAGGGTTCATGTACAGGCATAGTGTTCATTAGGCAGAAATTGTCTAGAAAAGGGTGTGTAATGTGTTGGCTATATGTATTGTGAATTGGAGTGTCCAACTAGTTTGTGATGCTAAAAGGGTGTGTAAAAATCTGTGCTTTCTTTCAATATTGTTTTCATGCTTGTTTTCTGAACTTGAGGTGGTAGTGGAATTGCAGGGACTATTTCATAGAGTATAGTGAGTTGATCAAGCTGCAGCCTTTGGAAGGCGTAAACTATATATTCTACAATCTATGCGTTTATATTGAGAAAGATGTTTTTTCTTGTATTGACAATGAAACTATCATGACACGTTTTCAAAGTATGAGATCCCGTCGTGGACAAATTTAGTATTTCTAGCTTGTTTAGCACAAAGATTATGAATGAAATTTGTAGTTTGCCATTTATTTGTTCAATGATATTTTCGTCTTGTTTTTTTTTTTTGGAACTTTTGTATTGGGACCACCCTAAATTAAAATCCTGGATCCGCCACTGGTGCCAGTGTCTACAGTTTGTTGACTCATGACTGCGGGGCACTCATTTGCAGCAATGCCCCATAGACACTGATTCCTGGATTACGCATAAGGCATCGGTTCATGCCGAGATGTACGGCCAACTTTCGGTAAGTTTACAACTACTTTCTCAATGTCATGATTTTGTTTTTTAAAATTGCAGTCCAAGTTCTAGTGGAACGAGCGGGACAAAGCTTGTGTGGATTATATAAAGAGTAAATTGTAGCTATGGTCCCTTAACTTTAACTCAATTGGAGCAATGGTCCCTTAACTAAAAATCCATTACTTTTGGTCCCTCAACTTATCAAAACGTGCAGCTATGGTCCCTCAACTAAAAATCCATTACCATTGGTCCCTGAACTTTAATTCAATCGGAGAAATAGTCCTTTAACTTTAATCCAATTGTAGCAATGGTCCTTACAATATAACTCGTTTTGACAAATTTTTTAGCATAGTTGACGAAAAGAACCATAATTATACACTTTGATGAGTTGAGAGACCCTAATTATATAAATGGTCATTCCAACATAGCTTATTTTGACAAAATTTTGACAAAATTGATGAAAAGGACTATAACTACACATTTTGATAAGTTGAGGGACCAATGGTAATGAATTTTTAATTGAGGGACCATTACTCCAATTTGATTAAAGTTGAGGTACCATTTGTACAATTTACTCTTATATAAATTGAGTCTAGAGCGGTCGGTAAAAAGGTGAAAGCACGAGCTCCACAAGTACTACGAGGCTTGTACGACACTTGAGACAGCGCGTGCAGACCGTCCTAAGGTGTTTCTGGAGAAAGCGGGCGAATGGCTATGGCTTCGTACTAATATTTAATTTTGACTTTTATTTAATATTTAGATTTTTTTTTCTTAAGTTAAACTAATATTTTTTAATGGACAAAAAAAATCGGCCACAAATAGAGGAAATCAAGACAAAAAGTCGTACGAGTACTAGGTAATTAAATCTAATTTTAATTTTGACTTTTATTTAATATTGAGCTATTTTATCTTAAGTTAAACTAATATTTTTTAATGGAAAGAAAAAATCGGCGACAAATAAAGGAAATCAGGACAAAAACCCACGCCAACTATGGCAACGAGGTCGCAAACGAGATTTTTGTAAGTATTTTTTTTCATAATCTTCATTTATGGTTTTCATTACTAATATGGTTTAAATAATAATTAATCTAACTTCGTTTTCTTCGTTTTTTTTATAGGCTTATTGTGGAGCCAAAAATATTCACTAGGCGACACGTGGACTTTGGACAAAAGAGGACAAAAATACCCTCGAGGCATACCGGTTTTCCTACACGCAAGCAGTGGAGAATCATCCATCAACCAAGTCAGGAGTACCCAAAATGGGTAACAATTCAAAACCTATTTTATTCCATATATGTTTTTACCTCATTTTTTCCTTATTCAATTAGCCATTTATTCAAATATTCCATAACATCCTCAACCAATTAATATATTTACCTAAATAATATATTAATTGTTAATTGAAAGTCATCCATTTAACCCCAAAACTCCCAAATGGCCGGCCATCCTAGTAGATCTCTCCATATTTGCCCATTTCATCCCACTAATTAGCTAATTAATTTGGCAATAATTCTATTTAGCCAAATTAATTAGTCAATTAACTATATAACTCCTAAAATTACCATCAATCATGAACAAAAACCCAAAAAACCCTAGCCACCTCCTATCCCTATAAATATACTTTCATTCTCACCAAAAAAGCTAATTCCAACACTTTGGCAAAAATCCCAAAATTCTCTAAACACTTTCTCTCTAAATTCTAACTTTGGCATCGGAGGTTCTTCGGCCAAAGCCCCCCCCATTCATCGTGGGCGCGTGAGGCCTTTGGCCTTAACCTAAGGTGCTAGTTGTTTTGTAGGTGCAAAATCGTCCAAGATCGAAGAGGAGAAAATTTGCATCCACAAATTGGTGCTTTCATTGAGAGTTGAAATCCATACTCGTAGAAGACTCTCGCACAAAAAGGTTTTTTCTTTATTTTCTAGTCCATTTGAATATTTTTTCATACGTTCTTATTATTAGAATTTTTTACTTGCAAAGGTTCTTTGATAAAACGTATAAGCAAAATATAATGGCTAGAAATTTAGAAAATTCCACAAGTGAAAATTCTAATGTTCAAGAAATGGGATTGCGGAGATCCGTGAGGCTAAATGCGACAATAAGGGGAGCGGCATCATCATCACGAGCTTCCACCATGGGAACCACCGTGGTGGCCCGCGGCGAGGTCCATGGTGCCTTCACCACGGCCACCATGGGAACCACCGCGGTGGCTACTTCGGTAGCCACTCGTGGCGAGGTCCATGGAGCCTTCACCATGGCCCGGAGATCCGTGAGGCAAAATGCAACAATAAGGGGAGCGGCATCACCACCACGAGTTTCCACCATGGGAACCACCGCGGTGGCTACCTCGGTAGCCACCCACGGCGAGGTCCATGGTGCCTTCACCACGGCCACCATGGGAACCACCGCGGTGGCTACTTCGGTAGCCACTCGTGGCGAGGTCCATGGAGCCTTCATCACGGCCCGAGCCGTGCCATCCAAGGCTCACGGTACCAAGACCACGATCCAAGCCGTGCCATCCAAGTTTACGTGGACCCAAGCCCAAGCCTCGCATTCACATGCACCGCGCATTGAGCAGCCTGCTTCCGTGATCCAGCCTGCTCCCGTCAAGCAACCCACTATCACGGCCCAACCTGCTCCTGCCGAGCAGCCTGCTCTTGTGACCCAGCCTGCTCCCGACGAGCAGCCCACTCCCGTGGCCCAGCCTGCTTTCGTCGAACAGCCTACTCCGGTGGCCCAGCCTGTTCCTACCAAGCAGCCCACTCCCATGACCCAGCCTGCTTTCGTCGAGCAGCTCACTCCGGTGGCCCAGCCTGCTCCTGCCAAGCAGCCTGCTCTCGTGACCCAGCCTGCTCTCGACGAGCAACCCACTCCCGTGGTCCAGCCTGCTTCTTTCGAGCAGCCCACTACGGCCCAGCCTGCTCCCGTGGCTTTCCAAGCAACCCAAGTCGGCCCAAGACTATCTCAACCATCCGGACCTACCATCGAGCCGGGGGCATTCTCACCACATTTTTTCGTGGATTTGACATTTCCCAACTCAAATCTCGCGCCCGGAGTCTACCACCCTTCCACTGCTCAAGGAGGCGCTTTCCTTCCAAGCTCTTCCAATCCAAATGGCGAACAACACTTGTCTCGACAAGTCATAGAGTTGACGAGCGCCCTTGCACAACAGACAACCTTGGTGAATCAACTTTTGCAACGCATCGGGATCCAACGTGCCCCGGACGAGGTATCCCGAAGTAGGACAAGGGCAGACGGACATTTCCAGCAGCGTCCCGGCAAGCAGCCACTCGACCAGCCACGAGCCGAACGTTTGGGCAGTGTACATTCCCGTCTTAGAGCGCGAAGGAACGTTCACTCTCGACTAGGCCCACGGAGGAGCATACATTCACGGTTGGGGTCATACTCCGATAGTCAACATGAGCAACCTTCTGGGCAAAGTGTCTATTCGCAGCTAAGCCCACAAGGAGCGTCCTCCACCTCACATCAGAGTAGGCAGCACGACGGACGGAGAGAAGCAGACACTCAATCCAGCTCAAGTTCAACCAGCAGCCTGCGAAGAACTCGCTCGCCTGCTAGGAACACACCACATGCACTGCATCTGCGGCATAGACGAGCCAAACACATGGAAGAGGAGCCTAGACCAGCAAGTCATGGCTGGGGGCAGCCGAGAGCTCCGCTACCCCAACAAAGGCAAATTCAGGAAGAAGTAGAGAGACTCTTGACCAAGCGATTGCATGATTTCCAACACAACGAGGTCACCGACGAGGCACTACGACGGAACATGACCAACATAAGCAGGTCACCATTCACGGACGAGATCGAGCAGGCAGAGCCTCCACGAGAGTTCAGCATGCCACATTTCACATCTTTCAAAGGGGATGAAGACCCGGAGAGACACTTAAAGCGCTACCGAAGCGCAATGATCCTTTATCGAAACAACGATGAGCTTATGTGCAAGATATTTGCCACCACTCTACAAGGCGAGGCGCAAGATTGGTTCTACACCCTGCCGCCACAATCCATCCGGAATTTCTACGAACTTTCTTTGGTTTTCACCAAAGAATATTCATCCTATCGCTCGATCAAAAAGAAGTCTGATCATTTGTTCAATGTCAAGAAGAACCCAAAAGAGTCGCTTCGCGACTATGTGAGGAGGTTCAAAGTAGAGAAGGCAAAAATAGTCGGATGCAACGACTCGATAGCTAGAGCAGCCTTCCAAAAAGGACTTCCAGCAGACCACCCGCTATTCGGAAAATTGATCATGAAAGAAGATCTAACTCTAGCAGACTCTTTTGCTTTGGCAGAGAAGTATGCACTTTGGGATGAGGCTCGCCAATGCACATTCAAGGACTTGAAGAAGTACCCGACATCACCTCCCTAGAAGCAGCAGAGGACTTATTCACATGTTTGACGGTATCTAAAGTAGCAATAAGCTCTACCATCATGCAAGAGGAGATGAGGGCCCGACTACCTGTATTCCACAGTTACCTGTATTCTACAGTTCAAAAGCTCTCCTCGATGTTATTAAAAATTTCAAAAGCTAACTTTGGCGATAGTTGTTGTGCAACCCAGAAGCACAAGTTTTACTTTCAAACGCATGCAATCATCCTCATGACGTACTATTCTGCCCAATCCAGACGCGCGACGATAAAGGCGTAGACCTTGGCGGATGTAAAGTTTTCTGACGAACGCAACATTGGAAGGACACACTCGAAAGCAAGTTTTGTCCTCATCACCCTAAAAGATTCTACATAGGAGCAACATGTACCGGCAGTTGAGTACCATTTCTTGCTGCGCATCACACGGCCCTAGCCGACCCTTGCTCAATGATTCAACTCTAGAGTGGCCCAATACCGGCAGTTGAGCATCTCCTGTTGCGTATGACATGGCCCCATCTCCACAGCTCCCTACTGCGCCTTCACGCCGAGCCTAGGTGACGCAATAGAGCGGCCCAACGATGCCTCAGAAGTAGCCGAGCACACTCTAGCTGTGCCTACTCCACCCGATGGAGACTTCTGACATTTGCATGTCGACGGCGCAGAAAAGCCTTCATCACTGCCGGCAGAGAAGGCTCCAAAAAGATGGATCCCATCTGGGAAGGTTCGTACAAGATCAGCAGAGTATGGGGCAAGAGTAATTACACCTTCACCACCATGAAGCGGCAAAAAGATTGAAAAAAAAATGGATGGCCTACAGTCTGAAGAAGTACCATGTGTGACCTTCCGCTACATCAAAACCCGAAGACTCAATAAGCTCGACGGGCACCACCTCACAAGCTGAGGACTATCCAGTTGTTATGCAGTTCCTACCTTACAGCTAAAGTTCTCGTTCGTTTCACTCGTTTTTCAATGAGGAATTTAGAAGTAATCACAACTTGGCTTGGTTGCATGCTTACAACAACTAATCACTCTTGCACTTCAAAAGAAGACTGCACCCTTCTTAGGTACTCATCGCAGGAATTGCGCCCCCCGAGGGACCAACCATGCTCTCCAGTGCGAGAGGGTAAACCAATTCTCCGACACCCATATGGGTCAGCTCTCCAAGATGGGAGGATAAACTTTACACTCCGAATATCCAGACGTGGATGAGCCTGGCTGCCCTAGTATAACTAGATGCGCGATGGCTTGCGCCGGGATTCCTAGAAGTAGCCGCAATGGTCTTTTTCAAGGCTTAGCTAACTGAAGGATTTTGGGTCTCTTGGCCTAATCCGTGGGGAACCGGGCCCTAGAGACGGAGAGGGCACATTACGCAGTACATCCGATGGACGGCTGCCCTGGAATCCTAAAGCTGCTACCGGAGTGCACTAAGGTAGCCTACGGATTCCGGAAGACTGCCTACGGCTTGCCCTTCGAGCAGTGAAGCCGCACTAGACTTATACAACCGCACATTCTTGTGAAAGGTTAAACAAGCTAGCGCGCATATACGAAGTTTTATCCACTGCCGACATGCTACGTAGTCGATAAGCTTCACCTCTGCCAAGCGCGGAACAACCTACACCAAGTCCTAAAGTGTTGTGATACTTGCTACGCAACCTACGGAATTGAAGAAAGTCAAGGTTAACAGCCTAGTGGTTACGCGGACTTGTCTGCTTCTGTAAGTAAGGCATCCGGCTGCCAACCCTATGGCTAACAACTTTGCAAAGTTCTACACCAACATCTACGGCTACATA